CATTCATATACACATATGGCTATTCAGCCACTGATTTCAGCTCACTGCAACCTCTGCCTCCGGGGTTCATGCAGTTCTCCTGCCTCAGCCTCTGAGTAGCTGGAATTACAGGTTCCTGCCACCACATCTGGATAATTTTTGTATTTTTAGTAGAAACAGGGTTTTGCCATGTTAATCTTGAACTCCTGACCTCAAGTGATCCACCCGCCTCAGCCTCCCAAAGTGCTGGGATTAGACATGAGCCACCGTACCCGGCAAGAACCACATTTTCTTTATCCATTTATCTGTTGATGGACACTCAGGTTGCTTCCAAATCTTGGGTATTATGAATAGTGCTGTAATAAATATAGGAGTGCAGATATCTCTTCAACCTAATGATTTCATTTCCTTTGTGTAAATATCCAGTAAGTGGGATTGCAGAATCATATGATAGTTCTGTCTTTAGTTTTTTTAGGAACCTCCATGCTATTCTCCATAGTGATGATTTTGAGTCCTGACCGAAGATATTTAGCAAATTCTTTAGACACTCTGAGTTTCCGTTTCCTCATCTATAAAATAGAATTTTTAAAAATCTATACTGTTATTCAGTATAGAGTCAGAAAAGCTCAGAGGCGATTTAGTCCAGCTTTCTTTGTCATGTTCCATTCTTTAAGTTCTTAAATTCTCTATTCTTAGATAGCACTAAAGAACTAAATTCATTAAGAAAATGTAGGTTTCTTTTCCTATTTCAACATTCTTTGAGGTTGAGGGCTATGCATAGAAAACACTAATAGCAATTGAATACTACATGGTAGCCATAATCAATTTAATTATTGTATCTAACTCTGTATTAAAGAGCAAGTATTTATCAGAGAGATTAAGCAGCCTACCCAAGATTACCCAGGTAAATGGTAGAGATAAAATTAAATCTCAGAACCCCTGTGACATGTTGCTACCATAGTGGCCCCCCTGCCTTTTTTTTTTTTTTTTTTTTTGGAGACAGAGTCTCACTGGTTCTCTCAGCTCCCTCAGGCTGGAGTGCAGTGGTGTGATCTCTGCTCACTGTAACCTCTGCCTTCTGGGTTCAAGCAGTTCTCGTGCCTCAGTCTTCTAAGCATCTGGGATTACAGGCATATGCTACCACCCCGGGCCAATTTTTTGTATTTTTAGTAGAGAAGAGGTTTCGTCATGATGACCAGGCTGGTTTTGAACTCCTGGCCTCAAGTGATCCACCCTCCTCAGCCTCCCAAACTGCTGGAATTATGGACATGACCTTTTTTTGTAACCGTTAAAAAAGCTATTATTTATATAAAAACATTTTAACTGTTACTTATACTTCCTGGTTTAGAACCATAACTTACTTCTATATTGTAACTCTTCAGTGAGATGCGTGTATACATAATATATAGTTGTATATTAGGATTTTGTTCAATAAAAATGTGAGTACATATATGCTTGATACTGTTCTAGATACTAAGTATATAAGGATGAAGAAACAAAATTAAGAAATAAATTCATAACAAAATGGCTAGTAATGGTAGCTTATTACAGTGAAAAATGAACAATGTGAGCGTAACTGATGGGCCCTTAAGCTGGGACCTGATTGAGGAGAAGGGAGCAAGATATGCAAAAAACTGGGGCGCAGGCATTCCAGGTAGAGAGAATAGTTAATGCAGCAGCCAAGATCAGGACGAACAGAAAGTATTTTCTAAGGACCAGGAAGAAGGCAAGCATGGCTGGAATATAGTCAGAGATAGGCCATTCCCAGAGTATGTCATGCCTTGTAGCTGTGGTAAACAGTTTCATTTCATTCTAACTGCATTGGGCAGTCACTGGAGGGTTTAAAGGAAGGAAATAATATAATCTGATTTCTAGTTGGAAGAAATTGCACTGACTGCTGTGCGTGGAGAATGGATTGTAAAGGGCAAGAGTAAAAGCAGAGACCGATGAGGAGACTTGTAGTAACCAAGAGATGGTGGTGGGCTAGATCAGGTAGTAGCAGTGAAAATAGAGGGAAGTGATAGAAGATAGACTTGGAATTTGTTCTGGAGAGAGAGTTGACAGGCCTTGCTTCTGAATTGAGTGTAAGGGAGGGAAAGTAAAATAACCAAAGGTTGCTCCTACATATTTTTACTTGAACAACAGGATATTGGGGGAACAGGTTGCCATTCCTTAAAATGGGCGGGACTGGGGAGAGAAAATCAGTAGTTTCATTTTGTACAGTTTTAAGTTTGAAGTGCTTGTAGACATCTAAGCAGAGATGTGAAGCAGGCAGTTGGATATATAACCTCGAGCCTAGAGTTCAAGGGAAAGGTGTACATTGGGGAGTCATCAGCATATCCATGGCATTTAACTCATGAGATGAGATCACATGTGGAATGAGCATAGAGAGAGAAGGGAAAGGTCCCACCACTAGTTATGTTTGCAAATCCAGTAAATAAGCAGCTGGTGAGGTGGGAAAAAATTTTAAAAGATGTGGTATCTTGAAAACCAAGGGAAGAAAATATATCAAGAATCTAATGCTATTTGGGGTCAAATAAGGACTAAGAAGTGACCCTTAAATTTGACAAAATGGAAGTTGTTAATGACTGAGGAGCAGTCAGTGGCACAGTTGGAACTGAAGCCTGGTCGAGTTGGGTGGGGAGAGAATGGGTAGTAAGAAATGGAGACAGCAGCCAGGCATGGTGGCTCACACCTGTAATCTCAGCACTTTGGGAGGCCAGGGCAGGATCACCTGAGGTCAGGAGTTCGAGACCAGCCTGACCAACATGGTGAAACCCCCTCTGTACTAAAAATGCAAAGATTAGCTGGGCGTGGTGGGGCATACCTGTAATCCTAGCTACTGGGGAGGCTGAGGCAGGAGAATTGCCTGAACCTGGGAGGTGGAGGTTGCAGTGAGCCAAGATCGTGTCATTGTACTCCAGCCTGGGCAATGACAGCAAAACTCTGTCTTGGAAAAGAAAAAAGAAAATGGAGACAACGAATATAGATAATTCTTATAACAACTTCTCCTGTGACGGGGAGCAAGAAAAATGGAGCAATGGTTAGAGTGGACCAGGGACCAAGTTAAATAGGCAGGTTGGTTTTGTTTTCAATTTTACTTGTAAGTATTTTGCTACAAAGTCAGCTCTTCTCTTACTTACAGCCCATTGACCTGCAGACCTGGGGTTTCATATGTATTCACTGAACAGAAAACCATACATAGGAGCCCTCCAGCTATCCCTGCGTACCCTGGGAATCAGCGACAGCAGGAATAAGAATTCCCTTCACTTCCAAGATTAGGCTATAGGAGAAAAACTAAAAAAAAATTCAACAACCCCTGCTCTGCCACTTTGTCAGGCTCTGGGAAAACAGGAATATCATACCCTGTCCCTCCTCCAAACTGCTGACAGTCTTTCTGATGGAGACCTTGGTAGGTGCTCCGTAGTCTGTTTTTGACCTGGGCCTGGGATAAGGAGGAAGGGCTTTTCAGCAGAGAAAAGTGCCTCAGTCACAGAGGCATCATGCTGAGGAGAGTGAGGACCTATGAGGGAGCTTAGTGGAGCCAGGCAGGGGTGGAGAGGTACAGGAGTGCTTTCCAGCAATTTAGGCTTGCTTAAGGAACAAAACCAGGCTGTTTACTGAGTTCTGTTACATGGTACTCAGATGGATTCTTCTAAATAAAAAGAAAAGAAATGATACAAATTTCCCCAAAATTGAGTCTTTGTGGGCTTATGCTTGCAAACAGTGGCCTTCTCAAGGTTTATACAGTGAGCCCTAAATTTGCCTTCTAACCCAGAAGAAAGTAAGGTACAAAATTTCCCTCATTCTTTCACGTCTTAGAATGAAGCATGCAGTCAGTGTAATTGTTGCGTTCAGCTGTCTATTTAAGGTAACACAGGAAATCAGCAGTGCATTTTCAAGAAAAGCTGATTACCATCTGTTATTAGTAATCATCTAAAAACATCAGTAAGTATAAGCATTGGCAATGGTCAGAGAGACACATAGATGAAAAGGGGGAAATTATCCATCATTTGGAATGTATTACCCCATACTAATACAATATACCAATTTAAATGATTTTAGAATATATCACTCAAGATACGGTGTTCTACCCTATGCCCAAAACGTTCTACTCTCATTTTTCCCCAGATGTGGAAGGTTGCATATTAGGTCATACTTCTTTTAAGACTCGTTGTAAACACGTAACCTTTACCATTTTGCATCCAAGGTGGCCAGCTTTCTGTGAGGCTCTTCAGAGCCTGGGTCCCTGCATTCAAGGGGAGCTTCAGATGAGGGCTTTATTCAGGGCTAACCTTATAGTCACCATCTCCATCATGACCATGGATGCAGTAAGGTTTCACAGTAGCTCGTGCAACCTCAAGAGGGTAGATTACAAAACCCAAAGATAGCCACTGGTTTTTCACACCTAAACAAATGTTTATCTTGCCATAGTGGTTGAACCATAGGCTGAATTGTAAAAGCTGATGTTTGGGAGTCTAGCTAAAGAAAATTAAGTTAATGAGTTTAAAGAAGCAAGAACTGGAAGGGTACCCTCCCGGAAGGTGAGATATTGGTCTATGGGGTGTCCAAGGGAGAAAATCCAGTCATGGGTTCTTAGCTTCTGTTTCTGGTTGGGCCAGTAAAGCCTCTTCCTCATCCCTGTTTTCTGCTTATCACTAGAGACAAAACTAAAAACCATGGCTTCAGTCTGCTAAAAGCCTAGAACAAAACAGAACAACAACAAAATAAGGCAGGCTGGGCAAGCTTGTTAAGACTTTCATGGATTACCAGAAATATCAATGCCATTAAAGCCATCATTTTTCCTCATAAAATGCAATCGATTATTACTGAAATTTGTAATGAAATCTTTCAGACTCTTAACGAGTATTTAAATATCAGACTAAAGTAATTTATAAATCATTATTTTCTGAGATCTTAGAGCTTCTCTCTTTTTTTTTTTTTTTCTTGAGACAGTCTCGCTCTGTCACCCAGGCTGGAGTGCAGTCATGCAATCTTGGCTCACTATAACCTCCACCTCCCAAGTTCAAGCAATCCTCCTGCCTCAGCCTCCCAAATAGCTGGGATTACAGGTGCCCACCACCACACCTGGCTAATTTTTGTATTTTTAGTAGAGATGGAGTTTTACTGTGTTGGCCAGGGTGGTCTCTAACTTCTGACCTCAAATGATTTACCCACCCTGGCCTCCCAAAGTGCTGGGATTACAGGTGTGAGCCACCTCACCCGGCCTCTCACTTTCTTTTGAGAACCAGTTTTCACAAGGAAATCATACTACTTCGCATGAGTTAGTATATACATTTAACTGAGAGATGTGCATACTCCAGGCAGGTGGTGGAGCGGATACACTAGCCAGATGACTACTTGACCATAACAGTTTGCAGCCCATGAAATTCAAATCTTTGCCTCAGCACACGGTCATGGACTTTCAAGGTCATTCTGTAAGTTATTTGATGTTAAATGCCTGTAAAGTCCAAGTGACAAAAGTGTGTTAAGTTAATTGGGCCACTATATGTCACTCAATAGCTCCTAGAGGGTTCTTGTACAGGATCTCACTCTGTCACCCAGGCTGGAGTGCAGTGCTGTGATCACAGCTCACTGCAGCCTCGACTTCCTGGGCTCAAGCAGTCCTCCCACCTTAGCCTTCCAAACGCTGGGATTGCAGGTGTGAGCAATCCAGCCCTGAGCTGCTTTCTTTCCATGGCTTCAGCCTAAGTAACTCGCACCTATTACCGTGGTAGCTTTCCCACCTCTTATCTCTTACCATCCTTCCCACCCCCATCTCCACCCATTATACTTCTGTCAGCTTAATTTTCCTAAAGCTGGTGGTCCCTATTCCCTTCTAATTTTAGCAAAGACTTCCATACCTGGGCTTTCCCATTTCAATTCTTACTACCAAGTGTGTTCTAACCAAACAATTTTGTTCCCTTAATATGTCCCATATTTTCCTGTGCTATTTCCCATCCTTGGAATGTTACGTTGATGAAGTCCTTCCCAAATATATGTGATTTTTTTCCTATCTTTGTACTTCATAATATTTTGTACCACTTATGCAACTAAAGCCATTCAGCCTTGTATTACAGATATTTGGGCTTCCCCATACTCCATAACTGCAAACCACAGAACACACTTCAAGGTAGACTTAGGTTCATTTCCATGACAATGTCTAACTTTGATTCAGCCCTTAAGAATTATTACGTTGGTGACATATTTTCATTTCCCTCACAATGGCTTTGCACGTAGTACACCCAAATAAATATTTTCTGTTCTTTGTGAGCATTATCACAAGGTAGGTATTTTTCTGAGTTTTTTTTTTTTTTTTCCATTTAACATAGCGGTAATCTTTTACATTCATATATTCAAGTACTTTGTATTTTTAATGACTGCATATTCTGTAAAATGCATGATATCTACTTTATTTAACCATTATTGAACATATTAGAAAGCTTTTGAATATGTGCTACTACAGATAATGCTGCAGAGTGCGTCTTTGCACACTAGAGCAGATATATCAAAAAGACAGCTTCCTAGAAATGGAGTTACTGGCCCAGAGGTTATGTATATTTTTTAATTAGTGCCAAATTGCCTTCTAAAAACACTTATAAAATTTCCACCGGTAATATATGAAAGTACCCGTTTCCATGTCTGGATTTTGTTACTGACATTTTACTGGCTGCACAAAAGAATGCTTGCACTTTAATTTACATTTCCCTCTTTTTACTAGTGAAGTTAAATGTCCTTTCATATGTTGTCTATTTGTATTTCTTTTCCAGAAATTACCTATTCATATCTCTTTGCCGTTTTTCTACTAGGTTGTCTTTTTCTTGATTTGTCACATTTTAATAGATTCTAGATGTTAATTATTTTCACATACATTGCAGGTGCCTATTCCCAGTTTATCATTTGTCCATCAACTTTTTTTTTTTTTTTTTTTTTGAGACAGAGTCTAGCTCTGTCACCCAGGCTGGAGTGCAGTGGCACAATCTCAGCTTACTTCAACCTCCGTCTCCTGCCTCGGCCTCCATCTCCTGCCTCGGCCTCGCAAGTACCTCAGCCTCCGTCAACTGCCTCGGGACTACAGGCATGCACCACCACACCTGGCTAATTTTTGTATTTTTAGTAGAGACAGGGTTTCACCATGTTGGTCAGGCTGGTCTCAAACTCCTGACCTCAAGTGATCTGCCTGCCTCGGCCTCCTAAAGTGTTGGGATTACAGGCATGAGCCACTGTGCCCAACTACCTCAGCTTTCTTTATGGTATCTTTTGTAACTTTTCATTTTTAGGTAGTCAGATCTTTAGTCTTTTGATTTATGTTGTTCCTTGTTTAGAAAGGCTTCCCAATCCTAAAATTATCAAAATGTTTTCTTCTGATGGTTTTATTTTACCTTAGCTTTTGTTTTGTTTTTTTCAGACAGGGTCTTACTCTGTCACCGAAGCTGGAGTGCAGTGGCATGATCACAGCTTACTATAGCTTCAACTTCCCAGGCTCAGGTGATCCTCTCACCTCAGCCTCCCAAGTAGCTGGGACTACAGGCACTCACCACCACACCCAGCTAATTTTTAAATTTTTTTGTAGAGATGGGGTCTCACTATGTTGCCTAGGCTCAAACTCCAGGCTCAAGCGATCCTCCCACCTCAGCTGCCCAAATACTTTAGCTTTTAATCCTTTCATTCATTTGGATTTTATTTTGAGGTTAGATAACAGGTAATGTTATTTTTTTATCCTTTGTAACACTATTGAAACCTTTCCAGTTGATTTGAACTGTTGCAGTTATAAACTAACGTTCTGTATGCATTTGGGTTTGTTTCTGGATTTTCCTTTGTACACCAACTTTTAAAATTTATTTTTTTTCTTTTGTATTATCTCTTCTATGTGAACTTTAGAGTCAGCTTATGGATTCTATTAAGCATTTTTTAATCATATTGGGATTTCTGTTTGGATTGTATTTAATTTATGGATTATTTGAGGAGAACGGACATCTTTGTAATATCAAATCTACCATTCTGGACTCCTTAGTATGCATCTCCTACTCAATCACGTTCTTTTCTCCTATGGTAAAGTTTTACAGCTTTTTCCTCCAGCTCCTATACCCTTTTGTTAGACTTATCCTAGGCATTTTATGGTTTTTATCACCACTGTGAATGGGATCCTTTTTTTTCTATTGCCTTTCCTACTGGTGTTTGCTCTAGATAATAAAACTTCATTTTTATATATTTATCTCTGGCTACCTCATTAGTCTGAATAAGTTTTCAGTTGATTTTCTTGGATTTTCTAAGCATACAGTTCTGTCACCTGCAAAAGCAAAAACAGGCTTTTCTCTCTTTTTTTCATTTTTCATTTCTTTTTAGTTAGGAATTTGAATTGTGAAATCCTTAAGTTGTTAGGGATTTCCAGGACATTATTTTAGAGCAGCCATAATAGGAGGCATCTTTCTCTTCTTCTTAGTTTTAGGAGGAACACTTCTATATATTTTAAATTAAATTTGATGCTTTCTGTGGATATCTGAGGGAGTCATTTTGTCCAGTTAAGAAAACGTTCTTCGATTTTTCACTTAGGATATTTTATCAAAATTCAGTGTTATAGTGTATCAAATGTTATTTTTGACATCTGTTACTACAATAATTGAATTATTTTACCCAATTTTACTGTTTCTTGTTGTAAACACTACTTGGTCATGATGTATTCTTTTTACTACCCTTACTACTAAATTTGGTTTTATTTAGAATGTTTATATTCATAAGCAAAATAGCCTTGTACTTTTTTCCCCTTATGTTTCTCCTTGCTGTGTCACACTTTATATACTTGTGAACTAGGTGTATCTTGAAGATTTGATAACATTTCCTCATAAAACTGAGTCTGGTGGCTTTAAAAGATGGAATTTTGACTGCCTTTTCAATTTTAACTATCATATTCAAGGGCTATTAATATCCTAGCCACTTTTCTCTGATCTTGAACAAGTTACTGATTTCATTGAATCTTAGTTTTGTTAACAGTAAATGGAGATAACAGTAGCTAATTCCCAGTATTGTAAGGATTAAATGACATTGATTATTTAGCATAGTTTTGTCTCGCATATGGTAAATGGTCATCAATAATAATCATTATTATCATTGTTATTCCCTTATGTAGATTACTGTAGCAACCTTCATCATCCACATCTCTTACACAGTACAGCTGTAAATTCCACAGTAGACAGGATATGAAGATGAATTAATGGTCCATCCCACAGTGGTAGTTATCAGCTCCATCCGACACACTCTTTGGTGGGTTGAGACCTCTCCCTGAACTAGAGCTTTTTCCCACAGTGCTGTGTCTCAGCAGACCTGGCCATGGGACAGGATGCACCACCTGTGTTGTATAAGGGAGCCAAGGCAGACTGCATGTGTGCGCCTTGGCCACCCCTGCCCTGTCTGGAGCTTGTTCTCCACATTAGAATGCTTATGTTAGTTTTTGAAGATTTTTAACTTGAATGGAAAGATAACTTTTTTTTAATGTCATTTGAAAAATCAGGATCATAATATATAAGCTATGGAAAGGCAGTCTTTACATGATTGGTCTAACATTCCATCAGTTTTGTTTTGTTTTTAGGAAATACTTAGATGTTTTGTCTCCTTTTGAAAGGAGCATAAAATGTTAGGCTGGGATAAATGTATAAGGTAGAAAATGGAGACTTGTTGCATTCTCATCAACAAGCAGAATATGGTTTTTTCCAGTCTTCTACTACTTCACAGTCCTTCATCTGATATTTAAAATGTATTTATGTTGAGTCATTTCTTTCTCTCTTGCTGGTGAACCAGAAGATCATGAAATGATTCTACAGAGGCAGTAGCATTATGTTCAGTTTCTTTTTTTGTATGCATCAGATAAGAGGCCTGCAAATGGAAGTAAGTCGCCTCACATCCTTTGTATGGTGATCGCAGTAATGTTTGCCTTTTTACCACTAGTGCAACATTTATTAGTTCATAAACCCGCTTCCAGAGAACTTAAGGGCTTTTTGATGAAAGGTGACTGTAGTGGGAACAGTGTTAGGTTTTGACAGGCTACTTTTGTTTTTACAAATATTTCTGTTCTTTCTTTTTAGTGTTTAGAAACTACTACCTTAAAAGAGAGTTGGGGACAGGGACATGTCTGGACTAAGTGGAAGTTAGTGCTTAGAGTTAGGATTTGGAATATAAAGATGGAAGTTAATATTTAGAATTAGGATTTCTGAATCTATGAATAGGAAGGTAAAATAAAATTTTGATGTCAGTTCAGCTTAAGCTTCTAAATCATTCTCGCTGAACCAGAGCTTCCCATTGGTAAAAATGTAAGATCTGAGGAATAAAAGGAGCGTAAGAAGCTGACTTTTGGTAAGCCCTAACAGTGATAGAAGAGGGACAAGGCGGCAGTTCCAGCAATTCTCATATTTTCCCCCATAGACTGTTCTCATATTTTCCCCATAGACTGCCGGCTGCTTGGCCAGCCATAAACCTCCTCCCCTTTAACTCCCTCTCGTTCATTCAGCAGGCCTTCCTGTGACCCGTGAGTATCAGTGGAAGCAGTGCCTCCAATAAGTTACCACGGCCTAAGAAAAATGTCTACAAAATTATGTTTCCTGAAGTTTTCACAGTATTTAAGTATTTACTTAAAGGAGATTTGTTGTATCCTATAGAGTGAATATGGAGAAGGGTAACCCTGGAGCACTAGAAATAAGCCTACTAATTTTCAGTATTAGCCAAGCAGCAAAGTTTTGCTGCTGTTTATTTTTTCTAGCTCTTACTATATTCCACTTTTACCATTGCAAATATTGAGGAAGTTATTTATATTTTATATACATTATATATTTTATGTATTTTAGTATTACTATTACACATAATTATATATCTTTTATATATATAAAGTACCAATGGCTTCTTCTTCCAGAGCAATAATGAAATTTCACAGTATGAAAATGGAAGAAATCAATAAAATTATTCGTGATCTGTGGCGAAGTACCTATCGTGGACAAGGTGAGTACCATGGTGTATCACAAATGCTCTTTCCAAAGCCCTCTCCACAGCTCTTCCCCTTATGACCTCTCATCATGCCAGCATTACCTCCCTGGACCCCTTTCTAAGTATGTCTTTGAGATTTTCTAAAAATTCTTATCTTGGCAATATCTTGTAGCAAGAAAATGTAAAGTTTTCTGTTCTAGAGCCTAACAGGACTTACATATTTGACTGCAGTAGGCATTATATTTAGCTGATGACATAATAGGTTCTGTCATAGTGTAGATAGGGATAAACCAAAATGCGATAAGAAAAAACCATCCGGAGGAAACTTTTTTTTTCAGATGGTCTCGCTCTTCTTTGTCACCCAGGCTGGAGTGCAGTGGCGCAATCTTGGCTCACTGCAACCTCCACCTCCCAGCTTCAGGTGATTCTCCCACCTCAGCCTCCCGAGTAGTAGCTGGAATTACAGGTGTGCGCTGCCACGCCTGGCTAATTTTCGTGTTTTTAGTAGAGATGGGGTTTCACCACGTTGGCCAGGCTGGTCTCAAACTCCTGCCCTCAGGTGATCCACCCGCCTTGGCATCCCAAAGTGTTGGGTTTACAGGCATGAGCCACCATGCCTAGCCCGGAGGACGCTCTTAACGGAAACTAAGAAAGACAGAGTTGAGGCTGAGGAACTGGAGCATCTGGGTTGCTTCTGGCCAAACCACCAGGCTCCTGAATCCTCCCAGCCAGAGAAAGTGGTTCCACACCAGCCATTTTTTCCCCTGGTAATGTCAGCCTCGTGTGTTGTTCCTAGGCTTACTTGATAACGTTTGTAAATGACAAAAGGCTACAGAGCATAGGTTCCTTTAAAATATTCTTTTTTCTGTGTCAGATATTGAATACATAGAAATACGGTCTGATGCCGATGAAAATGTATCAGCTTCAGATAAAAGGCGGAATTATAACTACCGAGTGGTGATGCTGAAGGGAGACACGGCCTTGGATATGCGAGGACGATGCAGTGCTGGACAAAAGGCAGGTATCTCAAAAGCCTGGGGAGCCAACTCACCCAAGTAACTGAAAGAGAGAAACACACATCAGTGCAGTGAAAGCACCAAGGCTACACCTGAATGGTGGGAAGCTCTTTGCTGCCACATAATATGAATCAGGCTCAGCTACTATTATTACTCTCTCCTGAAGCTAACCATCATTTCCTGCAACATTATGTAACGTAGACTTTTAAAAGAAGGGCCTGAAGCATTCTTGCAGCATAGGCTAAATGTAGAATAAGAAGCTGAAGACCTGTTAGAGTTTTCATGGCACTCCTTATCAGAATAAGGTTACTGTCTCATCAGTTATAAGATGTACCACTATTTTATGTGCCAGCAGGAATGAAAAAAATGCAATTATAACCATAAGATGTTTCAGAATCAGTGACATCATAGTATTGCAAACCAGATTCTAGCTTAAGCCAGAATGAACATAGGAGGGAGTCTCACTAAGGAAGTAGCTCCTCATAGGACTAAGTCCCCACCACCACATACTCAAAGACTTAGCTGCTGGGTCAGGCCCCTTTCATCAGGTGAGGCTCTGTGAGGACAGCCTGCGTTGGAAATCAGGAAGAGGAATGAAGTTTTAAAGAGTCAGGAATATGGCATCCTTGGGGAACAAGGCTGGGTCCTTCACTGTGCACAGATTTGTAACAAAGATGTCACAGATTCTTGAACTTTCTGCTTTCAGATTAAGGCAGAAGATTACACTTGAGAACACCTCTAGGCCCTTGATTTTTTTTAAATAAAATTCTAAAATCATAGAAATGGATGCTCACATTATCTAACCCATTTTCATAGTTTGCAATTTTTGCTTAAAGAACATGCCATGCAGCTGGGGGCATGGTGGCTCACGCCTGTAATCCCAGCACTTTGGAAGGCCGAGGAAGGCAGATCATCTGAGGTCAGGAGTTCGAGACCAGCCTGACTAACATGGTGAAACTCCATCTCTATTAAAAATACAAAAATTAGCTGGGCATGTTAGCGTGTGCCTGTAATCCCAGCTACTCGGGAGGCTGAGGCAGGAGAATCGCTTGAACCTGGGAGGCAGAGGTTGCAGTGAGCCGAGATCACTCCAGCCTGGCAACAAGAGCGAAACTCCATCTCAAAAAAAAAAGAAAGAACATGCCATGCATATATGTATTATGTTGTCAGCCTAGACAGCTGATACCAATTTAAAGCATCTGCAGATTACTATCTAAATCAGTCTACAAAAATGACCAACTTGTGATCTGTAATCAGTATCCCTACCTACTTTGGTGATTTTTAGTGATAATTATAAATGAGAAAATACAGAGTGTGAAACATGGTCTCTTTGGATTAAAAATACTTACAAAAATATCTTGAGGAAAAAGATTTTCTCTAGCTATTCTGAGTTATGAAAATTAATTAGCAATAATTGCCCCCTTGGTGTGAGGGGAGAGAACAAATAATGGAGGTGGGCGTCCATCCTACCTAACACTGGCTTTTGTTGAGGCTCTCGAAGCCAGCCAGGGACTCTGCATGTGAGTGGGTGGTGGTAGAGTTGACAGCAGTTTGGATTCAAAGACAGGAAATGCCTGTCCCTCACAGGGCCAAGCTGTGGCTCTGTCTTCTGGCTTGCCTAGGCATCAAAGACAAGACGTAAACTATTCTAAAATTACCAACTCATTGATTCGTGCACACCCACCCACAAATTGAGGGGGAAAGGGGACTTACAGCTCACAACAGAGTAGTTTATACTTCCCAGAATAGCCCTACTCTGTCAATTCTGTGTGTCTTGTATCTTCAGATGGCTTCAGTTAGGTCTGAGGGTTTTCGTATTAGGTTTCTAGTAACCGTGAAAATGCCTAACAGTTCCAGTTACTGGGATTTTCTACAGGTAAGCTTAACTGAAACCACACTTCTATACTCCTGATACTTTGACCTAGGATTTTCTTTTTTTTTCTCTCACTCTCAGAATTATACACAAGAATATGGAAATTTAAAGGTAGCTGAGAAAAAGTGAGAGGCTCTAGAAAATGTGTCAAAGTTTTCTGACAGATCCCATTATCAGGAAAATAGCCAGGTCAAGAATTTTTAAGGTTGCTAATCCTACAGGTTTATTAAAATTACAGATAAATGGCATTGTCTCTGTTTCTAGCCTTTGGTCTCAAGTTGGTTGTAGCTGATGTAATTTTTTATGTGAAGGCATCAGCATTGCTCTGAGCATTTTGTTTTGTGGTGAATGATGGGCTGAGATCATGCAGGTTCTCCTTCTGGAGGACATAAGAATCTGGTCCCAGTGCTGGGCTCTCCCAGAGGGCAGTGCTTTACCTAACAGTGAACCTGTGATGTTTCCCACTTTTCCCTCTAAAAAGATCATGTCAGGACTGCTTGCCTGCCATGAGATGAGAAGGTCTGTGCTGGGCTTCTCACATAGGGGCTTTTTTCCAGGTATTAGCCTCACTTATCATTCGCCTGGCCCTGGCTGAAACGTTCTGCCTCAACTGTGGCATCATTGCCTTGGATGAGCCAACAACAAATCTTGACCGAGAAAACATTGAATCTCTTGCACATGCTCTGGTTGAGTAAGTATCTCACATTTGGGGACAGGTTGTGATAGTTTTTCAAGATCAAGAGAGTTCTGTGGTGAAAACGTTCTCTAGCTGTGTTCCCCACTTCTTGGGGAAGCCAGTTGGTGCCAGGCCCTGGGCTTTACCTTTTGATAGTAATTCTTCAGATCCCTCCTAAAGGAATTAGATGGTGAATAGCAGTCCCAGACACATCCTGCCACTCCCCAAGTGTGTTCACAGGGAGAGGGTCACTGGAGGGGTTCCTGGTCTGGTTTTCCTGTAAACCTACCAGAGGAACCCACATGTCATGCACAGCAATTAGCATGCCCTGCTAAGACATCTATAGGTAGTGGTAGTGGATTTAGGACTGTCTCCCCAGCTTTCCACATGTGTCAGACAACTGTGAAGAATGACAGAGCTCTTACTCAAAAAGCTTATTTGAGATTAGGTAAAATCCAGTGAGGGTAAAATTGCACATACCTTTTACCACATTCACCTGGGGTGGGTACAGACGCCAAGGTTGTCAAGCAGCTCTTGCGTAAGGACTATGCTGGCAGAGAAAAAGGCACTTTCCTTGAGGTCAAAGGAGGTGTTTCAGGCACTCCTGGCTCCAGACAGACCCTTACTGGCAGAGAGGGCCAGAAGGAGAGCTGAGCAGCACAGGGCCACCTTTCTGCAGCCATCGCAAGTAAGGGCAAGTGCTTTTGAAACCTCAAGTACATCCAGCTCCAGGAAGGGGATAAGTGGCTAGCTAAAAGAAAAAGTCTTTCAGGTTTCAGTCACATTGCTGGTTACCTCAGCAAAATGTTCCCAGAACACCCACTCACATCCCTGTGTGTCATAGTAATGATGCATCTAGTGACTGGTGGTGGCAGAATTCTAAGTAGACCCAGCTCTTAAGAAAGCAGTGTTATTCCCCTTACCTGCAGTTTGTCTTTATTACTTTAAAATTTTTCTTCCAGAGAAAAGTAGTAACAGGTCAGGAAAATCCCAGGCGAAGGAATAAGCCTTCTATAGTTGAACAGTTTGGGTATTAAGGAAAACTCAATAAAATAATTATACCTGCTTTAGTGAGAACTTCTGGAAGAAACTAGTTCTTGTATTCCTATGAGTCCCTAAACCAGACCTAAGTGAGGAGTCAGCCCATGTGTCCCTACTGTCTGGAGAGGAGATGAGACTCCTGCCTGGCTGGCCTGAAGGTCCAGGGTCGCTCCTCCACTTCCTGCAGGGTAGCTGGGGCCCTGACACACACAGCACAAGTTCATGTGTCTGGCAAGGTTTGCAGTGACTTTTCAAATCAAAGAAGGGGTTATGCTCTTTACTGATAATATGTTCTAAATATATTGTTTCAGGATAATAAAAAGTCGCTCGCAGCAGCGTAACTTCCAGCTTCTGGTAATCACTCATGATGAAGATTTTGTGGAGCTTTTAGGACGTTCTGAATATGTGGAGAAATTCTACAGGATTAAAAAGAACATCGATCAGTGCTCAGAGATTGTGAAATGCAGTGTTAGTTCCCTGGGATTTAATGTTCATTAAAAATATCCAAGATTTAAATGCCATAGAAATGTAGGTCCTCAGAAAGTGTGTAAGAACAAACTGCTTATTTCTGATATCAACTTAGTAAGAAAATATATTCTTTCAAAGGAACATTGTGTCTAGGATTTTGGATGTTGGGAGGTTCTAAAATTATGAAACTTGTTTCACTGAAAATTGGACAGATTGCCTGTTTCTGATTCCCTGCTCTTCATCCCATTCCAGGCAGCCTCTGACAGGCCTTCAGGGTTCAGCAGCACAGCCGAGACTCGACTCTGTGCCTTCCTCCCCAATGCAAATGCATGCTCCTTCTCAAAGCACTGTTGAGATAATTACTGCCTTGAAAATTTATGGTTTTGGTATTTTTTTTTAATCATAGTTAAATGTTACCTCTGAATTTATTTCCTTGCATGTTGTTTGAAAAACTGAGTATTAATATCTGAGGATGACCAGAAGTGGTGAGATGTATGTTTGACTCTGCTTTTAACTTTATAAATCCAAGTGACTTCTCTCTCTGGGACTTGGTTTCCCCAACTAAAATTTGAAGTAGTTGAGTGGGGTCTCAAAGTTTGACAGTGAACCTTAAGTAATCATCTAAGTCAGTACCCACCATCTTCTTCCCCTACATATCCCTGCCAGATGGTCATCCAGACTCAGGGCTCTCTCTACAGAGAGGAAATTCTCCACTGTGCACACCCACCTTTGGAAAGCTCTGACCACTTGAGGCCTGATCTGCCCATCGTGAAGAAGCCTGTAACACTCCTCTGCATCTATCCTGTGTAGCATCCTGGCTTCACCATCAATCCTGATTCCTCTCCAAGGGGGCATTGCCGTGTGGAAGGCAAGCCAGGCTCACTCACAAAGTCAAGGCCTGCTCCCTGTAGGGTCCAACCAGACCTAGACGAGCAGGCCTCGCCATATGCTCTTCAGATGCCATTTCTAAGAAAAGCCTAATCACAGTTTTTCCTGGAATTGCCAGCTGACATCTTGAATCCTTCCATTCCACATAGAATGCAAGCAGGTCACACGCTTTTGAATTACGCTTTGTGGAGTTCTGTTTTTCAGAGTCAGCCGGGTCTTGATTCAGTCACATGGCATGGTTTTGTGCCATCTGTAGATATAACGAGCATATTGCCTAGACAGCTTTTCTCAGCTGGGTCCAGAAGAGAATTAAGCCCTAAAGTCCTAAAGCGTCTGTGCTAGGTTAAATAGTTGGCCCCCAAAGATAGCCAGGTCCTGATTTCTAGAACCCGTGACTGTTACTTTATATGGCAAAGGAAACTTTGCAGATGTGATTAAAGCTAAGGACCTTAAGACAGAGTGTCCTGGGGGCGGGGGTGGAGGGGGGTGGTTCCTAAATGTAATCACAAGTAAGATGAAGAGCACATCAATTCTAGTCATATAGTAAACATCCACAATAGCCAAGATATTTTTATCCCAAGAATGCGAGATTTCAGAAAATGAAAAATCTGTTGATAAATCATCACTATAATAAAAATCTGTTGATAAATCGTCACTATAATAAAAATCTGTTGATAAATCATCACTATAATAAAACTGAAGGGGAAAAAATTCTGAAAAATTCTAGCAGCTATATTTGATAAAATTCAACATCTAGCTTTAGCAAACTCAGTTTTGCAAAGAATATTTTCTTAATGTTATCTGTTGCTAAATCAAAATTAAACAGTCATCTTAATTGCAAAATAAAACATTTCTCAGTAAATATTAAAGCCAGTTACCTTCTATCAACATGTTTCTGAAAGTGCTAGTTGTTGCAGCAAGGAATAACAAAGGCAATACAAAACCAATATAGGCAGTGAAACAAAATTATCATTTGCAAGTAAAAACAGACTTCCCAGTTTTAAATCTGGTTTCCCCCTGAGTATGTGGCATCCTTGGCAGCACTTTTGAGAGTGGCTGCTTTCGTTCAGATAGGTGCCTTTCTGGCTTCTCATTGCTGCTTCTAGATCATTCTCCAAATATCCCCCCTTCCCCACATTGGAATGAATAGCCATCACAATATGGATGGAGGTTAGAATGAGCCAGACTGCCTGGGCTCAAATCCTAGCACACCATTCATTAGCTGGGGACCTTGAGCAAGTTATTTGTCCTCTTTTGTTTCTGTTTCCTTATATGTAAAAGTGAGTAAAATGGTACATGTTTTATAGGGTTGTTATGAAGATTGAATGACATTATTTATAAACTGCTTAGAACTGCTTGCCACCTACTAAATACTGTGTGAGTGTTCAAGAAAAACCTGTCTTCATTTCACTCTTGTTGCAGTTATCTTTTATTCCCAGCCTGGTTACTCCCTCTTATTTGTTGAAGAGTTTAGCTCCCGGTTCAGTGTCACCCCATTACTACTAATCATTGCTGATTTCAGTATCCAAGTGATGGTCTAATACACTCCCTGGCCTCTCAACCTTTTTTATTTTTATTTTTTGAGATGGAGTCTTTCTCTGTCACCCAGGCTGGAGTGTAATGGCACCATCTCAGCCCACTGCAACCTCTGCCTCCCTGATACAAGCAATCCTCCTGCCTCAACCTCCCGAGTAGCTAGGATTACAAGCATGCACCACCATACCAAGCTAATTTTTGTATTTTTAGTAGAGACAGAGTTTCGTCATGTTGGCCAAGCTGGTCTTGAACGTCTGGCCTCAAGTGATCCGCCCACCTCAGCCTCCCTCAGCCCCTTTTTCTTTCCTCCAGTGAGAAGACACTCAGTTCTATAGTCTTATTCTAGAGCCCAGTCCTTTTAATAACAATAACTGCACCCCTCCAAAATCTCAGTTTTAAGTATCTCACTCTCCAATAACCCCATGGTCTATACAATTCTCCTGTGGTCCTCAATCCCCACAATTCTTTGACCCCACTGAGATTTCAATCCGTTGATTCTATGGCTTTTTCACAGGTCATTTCCCTCATGCCTGTACTTCTCTCCTTATTCAACGTAAATTCCATGGCCCATCATTATGTCACCCTCCACTGCACTGTCCTCAAACTGTCCTGGCAATCCCCAGCCCTAATGGAATCCAGCTCTGCCTTCCTCCCTGCAACCTCCTTGCAACACCTGCACATCCCATTTCCTTCGCTGTTTCCTCCTCATTTCCCTGGCCCCTCAGCGTCACAGGGTTTCAGTACTCACACGGAGTCTGCACCTCTTTTCTTCTCTGTGCTCACTTATTTGGTGATCCCGTCCAATGTCATAGCTTTAAACCATCTTAGTTTGGGTTCTCCCGGAAGCAGAACGTAAAACAATGCTTCACGTAAAAGTAATCGGTAGGAAATTGGGGAAACTGTGTATGAAAGAGAAAGCAGCCAATGAAAAGTTTACTGTTAAGCCAGCTATGGTAGTAGGCAATTAGAGTTTGGTGCCACAGGGAGACTTTGGGGAGTTTGGCAAAATATATACCTCAGAATTATCCCACCTAAGGGGCAAGAGACCTGGAGTATTTATATAACAACTTCCCAGGGTAACTGAGTGAGAGCTATTCTAGCACGTGTTAGTTACTGGCTTGCCATGTATACCAGCAGAACTGCTTTCCACAGTTTAAAAAGAAAAAAAAAAAATCTGAGCAACATGATGACACCCCATCTTTACACAGAATTTTTAAAAAATTAGCAAGGCGGCCGGGCGCGGTGGCTCAAGCCTGTAATCCCAGCACTTTGGGAGGCCGAGACGGGCGGATCACGACGTCAGGAGATCGAGACCATCCTGGCTAACACGGTGAAACCCCGTCTCTACTAAATTACAAAAAAAAAAATTAGCCGGGCAAGGTGGCGGGCGCCTGTAGTCCCAGCTACTCGGGAGGCTGAGGCAGGAGAATGGCGTGAATCCGGGAGGCGGGGCTTGCAGTGAGCTGAGATCCGGCCACTGCACTCCAGCCTGGGCAACAGAGCCAGACTCCGTCTCAAAAAAAAAAAAAAAAAAAAATTAGCAAGGCATGGTGGTACACACCTATAGTCTCAGCTTCTTGGCTGAGCTAGGAGGATCCCTGGAGTCTGAGGATTCAAGACTGCAGTGCGCTGTGATTTGTGCCACTGCACTCCAGCCTGGGTGGCAGAGTGAGACCCTGTCTAAAAAGAAAGAAAAACCAGATAGCAGCAGCTGAAAGTTGGCAGGAACACATTGGCAGTTCCTAGGATCATAGGATATATGCAGGGCACTGACCACTCCTACAACCACCATCTATACACTGATAACTCATAAATGTTTGTCTCCAGTCCACATCTCTCCTAAATGCTTGACTGATATATTCAGCTGCCTGTGGGTAACTGGGCATCTATCTGCACTTGAATAATAAATGTCTAAGACTTAAAATGAGCAAAACCAATCTTTCTCCCAGAACTTGAATCTCTTCCACAGGCTTTCAGTTAATGGCAACTCCATTATTCCAATTGCTCAGGCAAAAATTGGCATTATCTTTGATTC